CTGCTTTCCGCATCAGTAAGTAAAGCTAATTCGATCACCTAAGTAATCTATTTTGTCGAAAACTTTGTGTAGGGTCGCCTATTCCCAGGCATCCAGAGGTGTATTTCTATGTGGGCGTCCCGAGTAATGTTTATTTAGTTATTTCTCCAATATATTTCGAACAAGTTGGTTGATAAATCTGTAAGGACTGAACAAAAAATCACAAAGGCATTAGAAGTGTACTTGCTTATGAATAGAAAAGTTTCATGATATACGTTGCTTAATGACAAAGGTGACGCGAAGGAAATTACTCTGATGTGGCTAACAAGCGGCAGCCGATTGCTAAATATTTAATACCACTTACCACATATACTTCTTTCAAGACTAAACGTTTACCAAAATCTGCATAAGAAGCCAATGTTCACCTAAGCTTACTTCTGTAACCAGTGGCCCAAAGGCCTGGCCTTTTCATAAAAACAGAATTATGGCGAAACTAGAATTATTTGTATTTCTAGGAAAGCACTTCAAATATTCCTTCCACCTAGGATACTTAGAAAACCGACTTCTAACAAGATGCGCGTTCGATTTAATGCTGATGATGTTTAGAACGATACGAAACTAGCACAAAGTACTAAACTATTTCTCCTAGATGATCTCTGTCTTAGATTTAATACAGCCAAACAGAGTAGCTCTATCTCGAAGTTATTAGTCCAAAACAATGGACTTTTGTTCATTTACTGACCTCGATTAAACCTACATTCCACTGGAATGAGGAAATTAAATTAAAGCTATGTTTGGACTAGGAGTCAAATGTTATCATCCTAATATGTGTCTGAGTAACGAAGTAAAATACCTGATAGCTTCTTCAGTTAAAGATTTTTCCTCAAATCCACGGAAAGCATGACAACACTTGATGTTTCTGAGACTTAACATGCCAAGACTTTTGAAATTCTGAATGGCTTTGATACACACCTTTTCCCATTTCTACGTGATACCACAAAAACGGAGTTTTACTCTCAATTGACACTCCTTTTGTTTAGGCCTCGTGAGAACATATCAGATTATGTACGCAGTTATTTTCAATTTGTTAGACACTGGATACAACCTAGCAAAAACCGTTTAAGTAGAGACAGAAAATGTTAGCGCATGTGTTTGTAGCGGTATTTGAAACACTATTCACATACGTCCTAACCTCGCCTGGTTAACTAGTTTACTAGTTACTAGCCGGTCCTAAGCCCGGGTAAAGAGGGAAGGTTGGGCATAGGGCTAGCAACCCTACCCCGTAAAACAAATCTAACCGCTAAAGAAACTTCAAAGCACAAACAAAATATAAAAAATGAAAACAAACTTATTCCCCGCTGGAATCGGAGAGGCGAAATGACGCCAGTTGGTGAAAGCCTTCGGGAAGCCAATTGGCCGATGTGTCTTCTCTCGATGAAAGCGAAAGTAAACGTGGGGACATGGAATGTCCGCACGATGTTTGAACCCAGTAAGGCAGCCCAGATTGCAAAGGAGATGAGAAGGTATAACATCGAAGTGCTTGGGATTTGCGAAAGCAGATGGAATGGGAGTGGACTCTCCAAACTGTCAACTGGAGAATCAATAATCTACTCCGGTCACCCAGACGCCAACCACGAGCACACTGAGGGAGTGGCTATCATGATGTCCTCAAGAGCATCGAAGGCTCTCATGCAGTGGGAACCAATCTCCTCCAGGATCATGACAGCAAGATTCAACTCAAAAGGAAGAAAGGTCACAATCATACAATGTTATGCACCTACAAATAATGCAGAGCAAGAGAAAAAGGAGGAATTCTACAGACAACTTCAATCAACACTGGACAAGACGTCAGTTGGCGATATCAAAATTCTAATGGGCGACATGAATGCCAAACTGGGAGGGGACAACACGGGAAGAGAACTAACCATGGGTCGAGAGGCGCTAGGTGAAATGAATGAGAATGGAGAATTGTTTGCAGAATTCTGTGCATTCAACGATTTGGTGATTGGAGGTCAGTGTGTTCAGGCACAAGGATATCCACAAAGCGACATGGACTTCACCAGATGGACACACTAAAAATCAAATCGACTTTATCTCAATCTCAAGAAAATGGAGACGCAGTCTACTTAACACAAGGTCAAGAAGAGGAGCAGATGTAGGTTCAGACCACTATCTAGTGCAAGGAACCTTCCAAATCAAGTTAAAAGCCTTCAAGGAAGCTGGTGATAGACCTCAATTCAAGTACAACACTCGGAAACTGAAGGATGAAACTACAAAGGAGATCTTCAAGGCAGCCATCAAGACAAAATGGGAGACATCGAGCAACATCCCTGAAGAAACCTGTGTGGAAGAACACTGGAAGTCTTTGAAAGCTATGTGGAAAGAAACCTGCACAACAGTATTAGGAAGGAAGAAGAAAGAAGACAAGGAATGGATCTCGACGGATACCTGGAAGCTGATAGAGGAGAGGAGGATGGTGAAGCAGAAGATAAACCAGTGCAAGGATGCTCAACGACAAGAGGAACTGAGCACAATGTATAAAACACTGGACAAAGAAGTGAAGAAGAGTGCACGCAAAGACAAAAGACACTTCTACGAGACACTGGCAAGTGAAGCAGAACAGGCTGCCGGTAGGAGAGACCTGACGACATTGTATCAAATAACCAGGTTGCTATCAGGGAAGAGACCAACACAGATGAAACCAATAAAAGATGAAGAAGGAAATTTAATTACAAAAGAAGAGAAACAGAGGAAACGATGGGCCGACCACTTCAAGAAGCTCTTGAATCGACCACCACCTGCACTTCGTCCAGAAATACCACCTGCAGCCGCTGAATTACAAGTGAACATAAATCCCCCAACGAAAATGGAAGTCCTGAACGCCATAAAGCTACTGAAATGCGGGAAAGCAGCAGGACCAGATGGAATACCGCCAGAAGCACTGAGAACAGATGCAGAGACAACAGCGGACATGCTCACACCACTATTGCAGAAGGTGTGGAAGGAAGAGAAGGTACCTGACGATTGGAAGAAGGGTTACCTTGTCAAACTGCCGAAGAAGGGAGACCTCAGTGCTTGCAAGAACTGGCGCGGAATCACTCTCCTGTCCACCCCAAGTAAAATATTAAGCCGCATCATCCTGGAGAGGCTTAAAGACGCACTGGATTCAAAACTACGACCGGAACAGGCAGGCTTCAGGAAGTACAAATCATGTGCTGACCAAATTGCAACGCTTCGTATCATCATAGAACAGAGCATAGAATGGCAATCAGCTCTCTACCTCAACTTCATCGACTTTGAGAAGGCCTTTGACAGCGTCGACCGAGAAGTAATTTGGAAACTGCTTCAATACTACGGAGTACCGCAAACCTTTATCCGCCTCATTCAACAACTATATGAAGATGCCACATGCCAAGTAATCCACAATGGGAAGCTCAGTGATGCCTTTGAAGTGAAGACAGGAGTGAAACAAGGTTGCCTACTATCCCCCATGATATTCCTTATTGTGGTGGACTGGATCATGCAGCAAACAGTAGGCAGCGAGAAGAGGGGGATACACTGGACGACGGAAAAGAACCTAGAAGACTTGGATTTCGCCGATGACTTATGCCTAATGTCACATAAACTTGAAGATCTGCAGGCAAAAACTAACAAGTTGATAGAAGAGGCAGCTAAGACGGGACTTCAGGTGAATATAGAGAAGACAGAAGTGATGAAGATACCGCACCACCATCAACAACAACAACAAACTCCAATCACCGTCAACGGGAGAAACTTGAAGGAAGTAACCTCCTTCACTTATCTAGGAAGCACTGTTTCAACTACAGGCGGGACGGACGAGGACGTCAAAGTCAGAATCGGAAAAGCAAGACAGGCGTTCATTAGCCTGAAACCAGTGTGGAGATCTTCTGCACTCAGCATGTGGAACAAGATACGGATTTTCAACACCAACGTCAAGTCAGTGCTCTTGTATGGCTCAGAGACTTGGCGCGTCACGAAAGGCATTTCCAATAAACTACAGACATTCATCAACAACTGCTTACGCTCGCTGCTGAAGATCAGATGGCCAGAAAAAATAAGCAACAAGGAACTCTGGGAACGAACCAACCAAGAACCTATCACGCAACAAATATGCAGGAAGAAGTGGAGATGGATTGGCCATGCACTGAGAAGGCCGACTGAGGACATCACGCGTCAGGCCCTCGAGTGGAATCCCCATGGGAAGCGACGAGTTGGACGTCCGAGGGTGACATGGAGGAGGTCATGCGAGGAGGAAATGAGAGGTTGTGGGCTGTCGTGGAACCAGGTTCAAAAGATCTCAGAGAACAGAGGTCACTGGAGGCGTGCTACTGAAGCCCTATGTTCCACTAGGAACCCAAGGGACTAATAATAATAATAATAATAATAATAATTCACATACGTCCTAGTCTCGATTTTCAGAACGCTCTGCTAATTAGGTGTGAATAACTAGCGTCAATCTCCTGCCTTTTACTACTAAATGTAAGTCAGAACTTGTGCTTGATGAGTCATAGGTCTTGTGATCTTCCCTTTCAAATTCATCCTCTGAGTAGGTTACCACACCAAAATTAAGCACACTTCTCGGTCCATTCCTTTGCAGCGACCTACCTACAGGCTAGACGAAAACCTACTAAGATTGATAGGCAAAACAAACCAATTTAGAGACTGACTCATAAAATGCACAACTACAAATATAGACAGTAGGTTACAATCGATAACTAGCATCAACAGTTTTTAATAGGTGAACGAGTGCAGACGGGCTGAATGTTTATTGGCTAAATTTCAGACCTGTCCATGTTATAGTAAGTAGCCAATAGGGTTATACAGACATACAAAATAACAGTAAGTTGAATTTTGATTCGATAAATTTTGTGTGGGCGAGAAATTTCTGTACATGCAACATACTTTGGACCAAAGGCTATTGATAAAAGACTGATTTGAAGCTGTTGAGCGCAGTTTTTGACGCGCCTTGTTTAGATTCGTCTCGTGTTTTTCGTGTGGAAATGACCGACGGGTGGGATGCTCAATGTAAGGTATTTCTGGACCAACACAAGTGTCTGCAAAACTTATGCATAACAGGAGTGGATGGCCATGCTTTTGGTACATCTAGTCCCGATTTTCGAGTAAGTATCTTCACGTGTTGTCATAAAACCAATTATTGTTTCGGACGATAAATAGGCTGTCATCTTGCCTCTTTTTATTTTTAACATTAACCACTTTCCGTAACCCATGGTTGTTGATGGAGTGGATTTCACGACAGCTTGGTAATTTCGCATCCCATTTCGCAATGATTTGTCAGTGTTAACCGTTTTCTTCCTGTGGATTGTACATTTGTGTCATAGGTATGTCACAAGTTATTCTTAGCAGTCATGGTTATATTCTACCGGATGTCTAGAAAGACGAGATCACACAGCGTTAACGTCTACCGAGAATGCCTTCTGAAATCGCTCTGGCATAATCGCAAATATATATTGATAGCCTAGGTGTATTCTGAATGTCTAATAAGACCTCGATATCTTGATCTATAAGCAAGGAAAAAATAACCATCACCCGGTAATTTCTTGTATCTATTGGCTGCGAAAATCTGCGCAGCATTCTGCATAGATCACTGGTGGCGTTTCTGCATCCAATGAGTAGATGAATCCAAGTTTTCGAAGTGCATGTGCATGTTTAGGCTGACGATAAGTCAGTCCATCCGTTAACTTTCGTCATCAGATACCTAGTTTCCAAGCACAATGATCCTTCGTTATGCTACATTGGTTTGTGAGTGTAGTGATCAGATTAGCATATTTGCAAAGTTTACTACAAGTATAGTATCTGTTGTAAAGATTTTGGCACATTGCTTGAGACTTGTTTTCGAGAGTAATGTACGGTCATAGTAGCTAAAATAATATTTGAACATATAGTGGTTTCTCGATGTATAATTATCCCTGCCTCTGAATTGCTTTAACATGACATTTCATAAAACGAACATGCCCCACCCCGCCTTAGCAAACCATTCCTTCACAAAACTTCTCCATGTCAGCGCTGGTTCCGTCCTCCCGAAGGCTACACAAAAACATTGACGGTTACCTAGTGTGTTGCCTAGTGCGATGTAAGAGCTTTAGTAAGTGAGTGGTACTCGATATATGCTGAAGGCATGCAGTATTTGCTTGAATCGTCCTTGTAAGAGATGGCTAATCCCTAAGATAACTGATTTATATGTTTATATTATCCTTCTAAAGGTGAAGCCTTATTTTCGCGCGCTTTGGGCGCCGTGTTTCTTATTTTTACCACATTTTGGGATACGAAACGCTAATTTGTCCGTTTTACACTTTGGATAGGCTGTTTAGTTTTTTCTGCCCAAGGCCGTCTAAGGCTATATAAACGACCGAGTTTTCACTTATTATTACTCGGTTGGAGTGAATAAACTTTCAATCCCATCGTCTTCTACTATCAGCTGGATATCGAGTTGAGAAGTCATTGTTCTATCATTAGTCGTACCGTCTCGAAGCGTTGTATCGTAACAGTCCTCATACTTCGTATTTCCAACGGTCTATAAGACCGCATCAAGAAGTAAATTTTGTGGGTAGATGGAAGATGATAGATTTAAGAGGCTTGAGTTTCATTGCTGAGAAGTGCTTTTAAGCACTTAAGAGTTAACTATACAGTCAGGTAGGTGTTGAGCATTCTGCGAATAGCCGAGTGGTAAAGCACGCATCTGGAACTTCCTACATGTACATTTAATTACTCGATCTTGTGTGATAAGACCAAACTAGAGAATATTCGTAACCTGTTTAAGTTTTGTCTCAATGTTGGCCAGCCAGTTTATGCCTAATGTTTCAGATTGTCCCTGTACTGTTGAATAGTGAATGGTGATGCCAGTTCTGAGTGCTGTATTTGGAATATCCCCACCTCTATATGCGTACATTTCTCGCATTTGAATTCCTTACCCTTACGCGATGACCCTTATTCGCGTCGGATACAGTCTTATCTGAGGCTACAATCTCGGGTTTTCACCATGTCTCACTGATTACCAACTGAAACTCGATTTTGCCTTTAGATTTTGTAAAACTATTTGAATGCTTATTAACTTGCCTAAATGTAGCATTCTTCTGGGCAGTTATGTTTAAATTGGAGGTTACGAAGCTGTGTGAGTGAAATCGCCAGAACGAAACAGTGGGTATCTCACTGTCGTCCTAAATACCCTATTGTTCCTGATCCACTGCAGCACAAAGCAGTTTGTGCGTAAATGTGAACGTACCTCGCTGTGAAACTTTGATTACTGTTTACTACGTGAAAAGTATCTGAATGTAATGTAGTTCCTTTGAGTTCTCTGAAACTTTTTGGTGTCCGAACAACAGTGCATTGCCTCTTGATTTCATTAGGTTATATACCGCAGTTGTGTTCTGCAATTCTTTTCAAGTTTAATCTCAAAAGAGCTGAAGCATAAGGAGCTGAATCACGTAGTTAACAAAATTCTGTCGTTTCTGCAATCAAAAGTGACAGCCAAATATGAAAAATAAGCGTACCTAATCAGGATCCAAGCTTCTACCATTGCCAATGTTGGGAGTTGGTGACTCACTGGCAGCGCCTTTCTTTTTTCCGATGCTTAAATAAAACTGAAAAACTTCAATGTCGATACCCGGATAAGTTGAGATGTACAACCCATCTAGAAATGAGTGAATTTTATATATCTATATATATATATGTATATATATATAACTACTAAAACTCCAAAATACAAAGAAACTATCAGACATAAAAACAAACTTATTCCTCTCTGGAATCGGACAGACAAAATGACGACGGTTGGTGAAAGCCTTAGGGAAGCCAATTCGCCAATGTGTCTTCACTCTCTCCATGACATGCTTTAATGAGCAACTGGGAGCGGACAACACAGGAAGAGAAGTGATCATGGTGTGGGTGGAGAAGCAGTCGGTGAAATGATGAACGAGAATGGAGAACTGTTTGCAGGCTGATCATTTCAAAAACCTCTTGAATAGACCACCACCATCTACAACGCGTCCAAAAATATTGCCATCAGCCCACACAGTCATACTGCTGTTCACGAAAACCAAGAAAAGTATTAAGCCGCGTCATCTTGAAGAGACTGAAAGATGCGCTGGATTCGAAATTACAACCGGAATGGACTGGCTGGGTGGCTGGCTTCGAAGGGCAAGTCATGTGCGGATCAAATTACAACGCTTCGCTACACATCATCATAGAACAGAGTATAGAGTGGCAATCAACTGGATATTTACCACAACTTCATCGATTTGGAAAAGGCCGTCGACAGTGTCGACTGAGAAGTAATTTGGTAGGCAGCTACTTCAACACTACTGTTTCAGTGCCACAAACATTTATCAACCTCATTCAACAGCTGCATGCTATGTGATGAGAGTACATGCCAAGTGATTGACAATGGAAAGCTGAGTGATACCTTTGAAGTGAAGACAGGAAGGAAGGAGTAAGACAAGACTGGCACCTACTATCATCACCGATCATCTTGCTGATTGTGTTCGAGTGGGGTGGACTGGAGTGGAGTGGACTGAACTGGACTGGATCATGCAAGAAACTGTGAGGATCTGTGAGAAGAGGGGCATATGCTGACTGGACCGATGTAAAGACCCTAGAAGAAGATTTGGATTTCGCCACCACCTACGATGGTTTATATGTGTAATGTGTTGTCGCACAAACTCGAAGATGTACAGGCGAAGACCAACAAGTTGAGGGAAGAGTGGAGGTAGTGAAGACGGGATATGCTTCAAGTGAACGTAGAGAAGACATAGATGATGAAGATACTCAACCAGCTACAACAGCAACAACAACTAGATGTGGGAATCATCATGAACAGGAGTAACCGGAAGGAAGTTGTCTCATTCACCTACCTGCCTATGCAGGTAGCATCGTTTCAACTACAGGTGGCGGTGGTGGTGGTGGCAGTGTTGGTGTTGATTGTGGTGGCACAAATGAGGACGTGAAAGCCACCCAGGATCGGAAAGACATCGAGATAGATCTTCGTGCACTAACCTGAAATCAGTGTGGAGATCTACTGCACTGCACTCGACTCAGCATAAAGCGTGAACAACATCCGGATTTTCAAGACTAATACCAGTCAAGTAAGTCAGTGGTTGTATGTGGTGGTTGTATGTGATGGTTGAGAGACTTGGTGTGTGACGAAAAGCATTTGCAACAAACTGCATGCATGCGTCATGAGGCACGCGCATTGGAAGTCAGGGACAGAATTTAACTCTAAATGTTTCTGTGATATTTCTCGCCTATGGTGGGTCACTTTGTGAGCGTTGTCAAGGTTAGACGAAGGGTGTTAGACAGGGCATGCAAGTTGACCGTCGAAGTCGTGAACCTCGGCTTCCTGAAGCGTTTTGGATGTACGTTTCTCGTGCCAAGGCGTGGTCTACCTTGACATTCAATGCTAGCAGAAATCGAATTGGGTTATAAGTCTGTCAGTGGCCGGATCAAGAAGTTACCCTACTTCATAATGTCATTTTTGGTGTGAGTCATATGCGGAGTGTAAACTACCTGGTTGGGGTTCCAGAAATAATGGGATTGGTGGTTGCAGATTTTGTGACATGGCTGGGAACCATTTACAATAGAGCAAACATATTCACTTTTGCAGCTCCTAATGGTTGAACATTTTCACTAACTTTTCTCTTTAAACTCATTTTGCCTTACACTTTTGGCTCATTTGATATCATTCTTTGTGTACCCAGTTGTTCTTTGCATGCGATTGTAAAGTGTGGGAACTCAGTGATGCAATTATGTATGGAGTCCTGCATTTATTCAATTCTGCTCTGTAAGCCGTGACTTAGCTGGTGTAGGTTGGATGGGAGTATTTGAGGAGAGAATTGTTTAGCTCTTGCTCCGAAGATATAGATTACTTTCATACTTTCCATCCCACTTCTGATCGTATTGTCTGAGTTTCCTTCTTTCAGGTCTTCCATCGTTCCTTACCCTCCGTTCGTAATTGGAGCTAGTATATCTTGCGCTATGTCAACTGCTAGAAGTATCGTATGATGTACTCAAATTAAACACACGTTTAGGTCCAAGGTTGCTGCCCTTTCTAAGTCTGTCCCAACAGTGTCTTTCTGAGGCGGAATATTTTTTGTAAAGCGAATCCTTTTCTAAACCCTCAGTTTCCATGAAACTAACCACATTGGTTATCAAAGTTGAGGATATCAATTTGCTTCGATAGAATACGTTTGGTTTTGTCTAGTGTGCTGTGTATGACTGAGGTGTCAGTCCTCAATGCAAGTTTCAAATCTGTTGGTCTGCGTAAACGTGATCTGGAACTAAGCATGCCATTTCATTCATAGTAGTTGGTGTGGACTATCTTCAGTCGTCAGTCACTCATCAGCTGCTTGCATTTTTAAACATGAATAGCATATAAAAGGGGTTTAAACACTGTTAGACTAACTTGTGATGTTTCTCCTCTCATTTCTTTGTCAGATACCCTGTGATCTGGTTCTCAAACTTATACCTGCCCTGACTGATTGCAGTAAAACCTCCTTCAACTTCATGGATGAAAAATATATCATATTAACGCGTGATCCACATTGGCTTATCAGCAAGTGTGGCAAGAAAACCATTATACTTTACTGCACCGGGAGAAGTTAGTTCTTTTCAACATTTATAGTGTGTTTGATATTCATTTGTCTATTAGGAATTCTGGTCGTGATGATTGCTTTTAGGATCAGGAACTTATACATGTTACTGTCTCACACACTAGATTTTGTACATCAGAAGTGTTATCCACTCACAATCTGAGCATGCACTATATTTATGCCTCAAGTATATTTCTCATTATACCTTGGACACAACCTACAGCCTAGGGCATAGATGTTTACTAGGTTAAAAAGTTAATTTATTGCTGTGAACTGTTCAAGTTAAATGTGACAATATTCTTCATCTTGGTTACTTGGTTTTTGACTATTTTAACCAAACTTCATTTGTTTTTCCTGGCTGAATTTATTTAATGCCACCCGTCAGCACTACAAAGCTAGCTTTGTACTGTAATTCGCTGCAAACTATGTAGATCAGAAGGAGACTTCGTTTGATTTCATTTAAAATTCAATTCAGTGAGAAATGGTTCATCATCCTAACATTTTTTACGGTTAACATCTTATTTCACAATAAGTCGTTTTCAACATATGCAGGAAAAGGTATCTTGCATTCTTTTGGGACGCATTACCTTGTTGAGTGGCACTGAGAGGGGCTCGAGGGGACGAAGAGATTACTTCCGGTAATAGCGAAGGCTTTTGTTATTATTATTTCTCAAATCTCTTTATAATTTTGTGGTTCGTGTTCGTAAAAGCGTAGTGATCTGTGTGATTAGTACTCACGTATGAGGTAAACTGGCTTATTTGAACATAGTATGCTGTCCTGCTTATTTCTTTGTTTTCCAATTATCATGAACCAGTTAGTCGATATTAAGATTGGGGCCTGGAATCAATGTGTATCAGTTCAAGTTATCACTTCACAAGTCAAGATAGAAGATACCGGTATTAAAGGGGAAAAAAGTGAAAAGTCGTAAGAAATTGGGCAAAACTAGTGGTCATGAACCGTCACACTTTATATTAGTCACTGTGAGATTTCACCAACAACTGCAAGTTAACATGTAACATAAGCTCTAGAAATTGTTTCATTAGCCCTCATGGTTGATTGCAATCAAGTCAGTTACGATTTCGGACCGTGGTCCACCTACTGAGGTTTGAGCAGTCAGATATTACCACTAGCACATCAATCATGTCACTCGTATAGTACGTGTTTGCTGGCTCACTTTTTCAAAGTTGTTCATCTTACATGGACCGGACCACGTTGCGTTTAAACTCTTTGATCTTCAAGTTACGGAAATTTCAGTCTCATTCCCCCAAATGTCCACTTTACTTGACGTGTGTGCAAGTTACGGTTGTGATGATGGAATGCCTCATAGATAAGTTGTAGTAGCACAGCTTACTAGCTGGTCAAAACGAATAACACTGAAACACTATGGTTTTACGTTTATGATCTCGTTGGTAACATTTAATTACTTCACAGAAGTAGTGTGGTACGAGATAAAGTTGCAGTCGCGTTTCATGAAATGTTAATTAACCTCCTAGCGATTGACTTCATTTACCCAGTTCTAGTTACCTATACATCACTTTGCATATTTTGTACATAAGTGACTTTTGTTTCAAATAATTCAGTTAGTTTGTCAGCGGTTGTCTTTTAATATTCATTCAGTTGGGGTTGACAACTGTCATCATTCAAGTGGACTTAACAGGAATGGTCACGTGAGTTATCGTTTTCAGCCACCTCAGTTTGGTGTTCATTCGTTCACTTCTTCCCAATCAAAAGTAGCAGTTGTAACAGGTTTGTATATTGACTGTATCCTGCACCTATTTTGTGAGGAATTGTTCCTGTAACTTTTTTTACTGCCTACCCGGCTAGGCTAGTAAGCAACTGTTCTAGTATGTCACAACATAGACTCTGTTTTACACTGATGAATTTATGCTAGTAAGTTCAACAGCAAGTATAGACGTTGATTACTGACGCATTTCTTTCTAAATCTTTGTTTCAGTTTGCTTGTTCGGACAGGCTATTGATGGTGATATGAATAACTGTAATCCTGGAAACTTGGCAATGAGCCTTATTTGCGATTTTTACAAGAAGAGTGGTTTCTAATTACTGTTTTTGTGTACAATTTACGGCGTGTTTTATTCGATGTATTTGATTAATACTCTAATAAGTAATGAGCATGTATTAACATCGACTTCTCCTTCTCGAACTTTCTTCATTTTGTTAGTATGTGGTTCTTTCTTGTTCGGCTTTTGTTTTAGTGCTACGACTACATAGTTTATAGTACTGTTGTGCATGGGTTCGCTTAGATTGTTTATCTTCTTGGTTAAAATTGACATCGCTGTTTACAGAATTTTTGTGACTCACATGCTTCCGAATCTTTCGTAGAGTTTTCAGTACATCTGTAAAAACGTTATATTTTCTGACTGAGGTTCGATATATTTTCTGTATTCTGCTGAAGGGAAATGTCTTTTTCAGAGATGTATATGGAAGTTCTTATGCATTGTTATTAACTTGCTTGTACACGGATGGTTTCATATTTATTGTTCGAATCTCAACACCACTTCGCCGAATTATATAGGCGTTACATTTTGTTATAATTGGTAAATTAGATCAATGCCTTTATGGTGAAAACTCGTTTGGAAAAATAAATTCTAACCGAAATTAATGGTTAATCATGTCAAACAGCGTTGAGATACACTTGTTAATAACATGACCTGTGCTCTGTACTTACACTTTTTATTCGCTAGATATGAATGAAATTCATAATCAAAATATTTTTGATCCGAACCTCCAAATTTGCCTACACCAGAAGTTGCGACTTGTTGAAGTCTATGTTATAATATTAAATTATTGTATTGGCTCCGGTCTTGTTCATCTTTTGCAAGTGAGTCTCATCTATGGGCTTGTCGCATGATGATGTGTTGTGTAATTGGCTGCGTCGAATCAATGTGTTCCTAACATTATTATTTCCACTCTCCATCATCAATATCAATATACAACCAGGCATTTGTGCGTTTCAGCTCATATAACTACATCAAGTAAAAAGGCAGTGGAAGATGGAGAAAAGATTCAGTCAAAAGAAATATAAAGCACGAAAAGAGAGAAAGGAAGAATGAGAGGATGGTGAGATTCGGTATGGCGTCGTTAAAATGAGAATAATGTATGTATACATCTGCGCCACTAACATCGGTTCTGAGCAGTATCGCCCAGAGTCTTCAACCACTGGTTCCTCTTGTCCCGCGAACCCCAACCGACTAGTCTGCATCACCCCACATGGCTCAAACTAACAGTCAGAGACTTCATACATTGGTGCCATGTTTTAGTCTGACCACCTCGGGCCCTTTTCCAGCCTGGACCTACTTCGGTCAACATTGTGTGACGGGGTGATTGGCGAATAGTATGGGTATGGGTACGTAACATGTGTCCCAACCATCTCAGTCGATGAAGGCTCACAACCTCGTCAACAGATTTACCTCTACTCCCTAAAACTCTATACCTGACGTCTGCGTTACTCACGTGGTGACACCACGGAATACGGCTTATACTAGGAAGGCAACGGTGGTCAAATACCTGAAGCCAGCCTTCTCATGTCTTCCACCTTCAATGGCCATGTTTCACAGTCATAGAGTAGAACAGACTGGACTGCTGTGCAGTACACGCAACCCTTAATGGACAATCGGATATCACGGCGGCGCCATAAGTGGTGTAAGTTGGCAAAAGCCAATCGAGCCTTTTGTATTCGTGTAGACATTTCATCGGCCATTGAGCAACCAGGGCTGATCCCACTTCCCAGGTAAGTGGAGTGGTCGACACACTGAATCATTACACTCTCTATTGCTAGCCTTGGTACCGCTGAAGACCAGTCCTGGAGCAAAGATTTACATTTGGGTGATGAGAAACGCATCCCAAACATTCTCAGTGTCCAGAAGACTCTGCATCTTGTCAGCGTCTTCACCTAACAGTACTGTGTCACCTGCATATTCTAGGTCTAACAAACATTCTCCTATGATTAGGTGAACCTCTGTGTAGTCAGGTGACGAGAGGGAGACCTCCATAAGAATATCTATGATGGGATTAAATAAGAATGGAGACAGAGGGAAGCCTTGACGGACACCATCTGACGAATACAGCTCCTCGGACACTAAGCTTCTTCTGTATGAGTGATAGTGTTCTGTTCCGATAACTGCCTAGCCAACTTCTCACTGAACACGGCTTTGGTGTTTCTGTTGTCCAGCAGCACTCGCGGTGATTTTGTTACAAATTGTTTTTACGTCCATTGAGACGCAGGTATATACGCGCTCGGACCGACGCATGGTCACTATCCAAGTATGTACTCCAGAAGGAGCGGCGGTCTTCCACCGATCCTCTCAAGCGATGACTAATAGCAATGTGGTCTATCTGTGTCCATCGCTGAGTTGAGCTCGGTGGACGCCATGTCAGACTGTCTTTCTTGATGTCTGAAAGTTGTGCTAGCTAAAATAGGCGGTTATCTGAGCATAGTTGTAGTAGGCGATCACCGTTATCTGTACGTTCAACTGTGACTCTGAAAGTGCCACCTAAGTGCCTTTCTGCCTCACTCAGTCTACTCACCTGTGCGTTGAGGTCACCTGCAACAACCACCATGTCCGAATGTTTGGCTTTCGAGAGGAGGTTAGACAGTTTGCGGTAGAATTCCTCCTTCACTTCATCCGAGCTGCAGTCAGTGGGTGCGTATACAGAGATTACAAAGAGACAACGGCGAGTCTCCCCATTCCTTTTAATTCTCACTGTGCCGTTCAGTCGGATAGTTCAGAGGTGACTATCAACTGGGATCCAGTCTAGTAATCAGCTTTTTGCCCTAGTGCTTAATGTTATACCTACACCTGCAAGATCGCGAGAGCTAGCTGTAGCTATCGAATCTCCAGAAACTCGAAGGGTGAATTTCGCAGATTCATCAGATTGGGCGGGAGAGGTTAGGTGAATAAGCACACTTGAGTCCTGTATGCGAGTCTCACAAACACAGCACACATCCATGCGCCGAGTTGCTAGAGTCTTTGCTAACGAAGCCTGTTGACCAATTTGACAGAGAGTGCGGACATTGAAGGCTTTAATATGTAATTGGGAGCGTGGTTTAAGGGGACTAAGGATGCTGTTTGTGGACTCAGATCGTTATCAAAGGCTACAGAGCTAGGAGAAATTGGAGATGATGTAGTATCGTTAGTTGAGAGACGTGAAGGAAGATTCGACGGTAATGATGGAGGAGGTGGATAGCAGTCTGAGGAAACTTGAATGCTGATAGAGTTGTGAGGGCGGTTGACACTTCGCGGTTGCCCACACCGTGGAAGGCTATTTCTTCTTAAGGTACCTGAAAGAGATTTGTGTGAGCGCGGAGCCCATTGGACATCTGCTAGAGGCCCATCACACACAGCCGTTTGTGTATGCTTGTTTTGGGGCGGGATTATCGAAATGAGGTGACAAATGAACCAACACTGCCGGTCCGGCAGACCATAGGGTATGGTGGAATGTTATTTTTGGTGCCGACCTTTTCTAACCCACCCCCTTCCACTGAGAAGGCAGGCAGCATCAGCATGGTTTTGCAGGTCATCCAAGGGAAACACTTTACTGGTGGCATGCCTCATACAGCTAGCAGCAGTACGACTTCACCCTCAGACCCCTCCCCCCCAACATAGTGTAGTAATTTACACTACAACGGAAACTGCTTTTCGTCTAACCACTATCCAACAGACCTTGAGGGAACAAATGTTCCACCAGCATAGCCTGTTGGGTCATTGTGATATACAAGCCCGATCACCACGTCAAGGTTGCGGCTATCGGTCAGGATCTCCACTCTACCATCGATTTGTTTCGATCGCCTATGTAGGTTTTTCAGTGTGTCGATGTAGATATTAAGGTTCTCTGATTCGGTTGACAGGGTGGGCACAGGAGCTTTCGAAATGAGTATTACTCTAAAGAGAAATTTGCACTACTAGTGGTTGTTATGCTTTTTCCATGCCTTTTGATTTGAACACCTGTTTTAGACTGCCTGGATTGCTTGTTGCAGTCGTTTTGTGGTATCACTTGGGTTTTATACCAATGTCTCACATAACACGTTGCCGTTATTCATATCCTTATCGTTATGAGGAACTCTTTGATGCAGTCCTAACCGTAAAGTGTAATGCCAGTTCATTGCGTAGGTTTTGATTGGAAATATGGCCCATTCAAGCGATGCGTAGCGCTATCGAACTTCGCTCTACCTTTGTCCTGGTCAACCGTAGGATATTCTCACACAGGCCCAATACATTAGGACGTCTCATGCTTACTTTAGTGAGTAGGAGGTAACTATTGATGGTAACATACTAGTGATTATGGTATGGCATTTTTTCATGGCCTTAAGGTTTGTTATGGAACGGAAACTTGCCATTTCAAATCCAGTTATTGAGAAATGAACCAGTGCGATTGACAGTCATCTCTAAGCTCAATTCGCCTGCCATAAACAGCTGGTTCTGAACTACGTCAGTGACTGAGGTCCTTATAAACTCTATAAATTATGGAGGGGACTGATAAAAGAAGGAGTGGTAATGCTATCGGTGTTCGCATCATGCCTAAGAGGGGATTCGAGTCCTCTGTAGTGATACCTTATATAGAAGGCATACCAGAAGTTTCACATAGAATTCACAACAATACTGGTATTAGGGTGGGATTCAAATCCCGTACTGCATCACGCAGTAGTAGTGCATCGACACCAGGTTGTCGGTTAGTGATTCTGCTTGGTTATTCACACCTTGGTGAGTGTTATGGGGTTGGGACCTATCATACACAGGTTAGGAAGTGGATACCACTAACTGAGTCATTTGGTCCTATCGACCGTGAGGTGTTGTAACTGTGAATGGAATACTGAGCAGATGTGTGACGCCAGCCAAACCTCTGTACTCGAACTCAATAGCGTGTAAAGGCCTATGAGGAGTTGTCATCTGAGTTAAGGACAGCTAGTGATGTCCAGCAGAGAAACCCGTTATCGCCGTTCCAGTTTAACTTCTTTATGGTTGTATTGGTGGGAGTGACCCCTAGGTACGCTTGATTACTCAGGGATTGACCTATTCCCTTGAGCGCAGGGATCTGGTTGA